AAATGGATGAGAGAATAAGTGATAATGATAAAATGGAAGAAATCATGCTACCAGGGTTCAGGTTTCATCCAACGGATGAAGAGCTTGTTCAGTTTTATCTGAGAAGAAAGATTCAGCAGCGCCCTCTTTCAATAGAGCTGATTAAGCAACTAGACATCTATAAATATGATCCATGGGATCTTCCAAGTAAGTTTTCCCTATATCCATACTTGTTTTACTGTAAAACTGGAACTTTAGAAATGAAACTGACGCTTGTTTCCTTTTTCTGTCAAGAACTGACAGCCACCGGGGAGAAAGAGTGGTATTTCTACTGTCCCAGGGACAGGAAATACAGGAATAGTTCAAGGCCAAACCGGGTAACCAGGGCTGGATTTTGGAAAGCCACGGGGACTGATCGCCCCATCTATTCCTCGGAAGGCTCCACCGAGTGCATTGGCTTGAAGAAATCTCTTGTTTTCTACAAAGGTCGAGCAGCCAAAGGGGTGAAAACTGATTGGATGATGCATGAGTTTAGGTTACCTTCTCTCACCGACTCTGCGCCACCAAAGAGATACCTTGACAAATGCCTTCCTGCCGATGTAAACAATCTCAAAACACCCCTACCTTCTTTCAAACTTTTCTGCTATTTTTATACAATGTTAAAAAATACTTTAAATATTTCATCAAATAGTTTTATAAAATAATCATTTTGAGGTGAAAAAGCGAATACAAATAGTAGTCAACAAACGATTAAAACTCTAAAACAATATCATTTTTACCTTAAAATGAGATATTGAGGCTAAAATACTTCAAAAAAAAAATGTGCCAAAAGTGATTAGTATTAGTCAAATATTACGGGTCTTTTTTTCTAAAATAAAACATTAAGGGTCAAAATGATTCAAAAGGAAAAATAGAGAGTAAAGTAACTATTTGAATGTCATATATTTTTTTAGACTATACCCTTTTTACAGTTATTTTTTATTTTATTTATCAACTTTCTTTGAGAACTCTGGCAGGACTCATGGGCGATATGCAGGATATTCAAGAAAACCAACTCCGCAGCTCAAAGAGCTCTTTGTCATTCATGGGTTTCTCCAACGCCCGAAACATCGTCAATATCCGATATGATTGGTAGATATTCAAATAGTTCTCAACTTTCTTCGGACAACATAGCCTTGACAACGAAAACCAGTTCATCAGCGGTCCAGTTTAACCTTAACAATAACACTGATCCACTACATACATGTTTTGCTGCATTTCTCCTTTAGACTTTGTCCCTTACAAGCCCATCATCAACCAGATGGCTGCAGACAAGCTTCCTCAAGTACTTCCCATGTTCAATGGAGACCTAACCAGCCTTATTTTTGCACCTCTCGATCAAACCTCACAGCCGGCAAGACCGGAAGTCGATGTTACTTCCATGTTTCTAAACATGTCATCTTCCATGCTAGGAGATTACGATAGGGCCTTCAGTAATACTAATACTGTTGTCTTTGATGCCGGATCACAAGATCATTGCAATGACGCCTTCTCTTCAGGGGCTTTGCCCCATGAGACGCAAGGGAACATGGGGATCAATAATGATGATCATGAAAATTCAGTGTTTAGAAACCTGAATGTCACCCATGTTGATGATCGATGGGATGCTATTCGGTCCATTGGCTTTCCCTTCGGTTTTCCTTTTCCCATGAGTGTGGCGGATGCTTGGAAGCCAAGCATGCCTTGGGATTCTTCATGTTCTAGTGAGAAGTCAACAAGTTTTTCCTCGACCAAGTGTCACACTTGATGTACTTGATAGAGTGCGAAAACTTCTCCCGGTTTAGAAATCAACTTGTAGAATTGTGTTGTAGGCATATTAAATTGTTTCATTATTTTGAGAATGAAAAATCAGAGATACTTGTGCTTAAACACAATCAAATCGAAATGTTTCTTAAATATTTGTTTCAAGAAATTATAAGTGGAAAAATAATAAGAGATACCAACATAAAATAAGACATATACATGGGAGATTTAACGTGATTCGGTATTGTCTACTTCAACTGGCGAGATAAATAATAATCAACCATAAATGTAGAGAACACGAAGAGTACATAATTCCCAAAACTTGATATAGATACCAAATGTATCCCAAAACCTGGTGTATCCGAAAAACCTCTCAATATCCCTACAAAACTATTTATGCAACATAAACCCTAAAAGTTATAGAAATAAAAGAAGAATACATTTCTCCAAAATAATTCCCTCTCACATAATTCTAAAGATTAAGACATTATCTCTATTTATAGAACCAAATACTTGGTCATGAAATAAGAATTCTTGCATAGAATAAATATTTACTTTATTAAATAAACTTAATTACCAAATAATCTTCTACCACTAAAATTATAATAAAATCCAACTTAATTACCTATTATAATTTAGATTCAAATATAAAAAAACTACAACAATAACTATACTAACTGAGTCAATATAAATCGAAAATATTTACATATTGATAATATTATCAAATACAGTAATAGATTTAAAACATTGGCATATATGTGTTTACTTGATCATTATTTTCACTTTGCTTAGTTGTTTTGTAAGATATGTCAAATAGTATTAGGCAAATTGTGAAGCTTATATTTCATAAATTAAGTGGGATTTGAGTAATAGATCCATATTTTTTGTCATTTTAATTGTAATTTCAAACGTGATCAAGAAAAATGGTATATTCTATTTCATTATGGTTAAATGAGATGGTGGCTTTTGGGCTTAAAGAGGTTGACTTATTGGATTTTTTGTCTTATTATTAGTTTGAAGCCCAAATCTTAACCGAAGGCTATTTCATGAATTTAATCATTTATGTGTGACACATTCACAAATGATTACAAGTATATCGTTGGTAAAGTTATCATGTGAACAGTGTAAATGAGGGCACTATGATCCTCGTACTTCTAAAGTTAATCCTTTGTAATTTCTCAAGGAAGATGGCGAAATGTACATCTGTTTTTCGTATAATTCTCAACTCTTGGTCTGTTCTCACAGGGCTCGTCCTCTACAAATCTTTGCACAAGCACTTGGAAACGTTGAAATTCCCCAGCAGCTTGTTGTACCTCCTATGGATCTTCTCCAGAAGCACACCCTCTGTTATTCCTCCGTTTATCAATCGTTGAGGCCCCTGTAGTTCTTCGAAACCTCCTGAGCTCCATATCTTTTAGAATTCCTCGAAGTTTCAGAAATTCCTTATCCTCCCTACGGTTACAGTTTCTTGACGTGATCTCTAACAAGCCAACATGAGCTACAATCTAGTAACTGACAGTTACAACCCTTGATGTGCCTATTTGTGTTCACTACAAGGCAGGCAGAGCCCCCTACATACATGGTCACAGAGCAATAGTTATATGGAATAAGTACTTAAGAAAAAATTCTTTAGTTATTTCTTTTCTAGGATGACATATTGCAAGGGGAGCAGTTTTGCCTACAGACATGATTATGGTCAGTTGAAGGGTAGCTTACCTATTCTGACGTCTGCTAAAATTGCTCAGTGCATATGCTTGAATTTGCCCCCAGTGAATTTCTATGAAATTGCCTCCAGATATCTAAAGGAATTCTCTTTCTGTGGAGAAGATTCTACCATATGCATGCCACATACAGCCGCAGGGATGGATCGAGAGGGAATATGCAAGGGCAGTAACCTCCCTAAAAATTTAAAATTATCATATTTTAGATTTTATTCATAATTTTTTTATTGAAAATTTATTTTCATTTTCCTGAAATTTTAGAAGTTCGTCCCTTTGTAAAATGGCATCATGTGAAAATTACCCCTAACGTTTATCAAAATGATCATTTTGGTAAACGTTGAGGTTATTTTTGAAGTTATGCCTTCTAATTTTAAAAGTTCGCCCCTAACAACCTTCCGTGAGTACAAGAGTGGTTGATTTCTTGAGAATTATGGTTGTAGACAAATAATCATAGACTTCCTACTCGTGTCTATATAATGTCAATACTGTCTGTAGCAATACGGATTCTATACAACATAAATGGACTTGGGGTGTGGGAAAAGAGCTTGTCTAGTCATCATCTCCCCTGTAAATCTAACGAATATGTAAGGATACTGCAAGTGGTATGAAAGTTGGGGACAATCTGGAAAATGGTTCTGCTCTGTTAGTATGGATGCCATGGGTACTGGTGTTACTGGAAACTCATTATATGATCATGGATCCAAGTTTGATGTTGCAGAGCTTTTGTGCATCATTAAGCAAGATACAATAAGATTATTTTTGTTGGTTTTAAGTGTATGATATTGGCACTGAACTCCTTGGATCATAAACTGCAGCTCTCCTTTATAAGATTTAATTTTTTACAAGTATTGCTATCCTATTTGGACCGGCTATAGAGTTGGGGTTCCTAAGTCGAGAAAAAGCTGGTGACAATAATATTGCACCCCCTTCTCCATGCATCATGCACCTTGTCATTAACAAAGACAGAGAGTGGATTAATTAAAGTATTAACAATTAAATAAATTATTATATATTATATTCCACAAATGTAATTAATAAAATATTTTTGAAAAGAACTCTTACTATAGGCTCTAATTAATTAGAATTAGAAACTTTGGTATGCTGCCTATGATTATGCACTTACGTTAAGTTAACTAAACGCAGAAAAAGGAAAGTTGGCTGAATTCCAAGTACTATTTTATTGCACCTAACCTTTAATCATCAAACCCTGTTTACCTTTAAAGATCAGATAACATATAAAAACAGACATGTTTATATTAAATGAGAAAAACATAGCTAACAATATATGAATCTATTAAGTTATATCATTGCTAAAAGAAAATAGTGTTCTTCTTATAAATTCCGAAATTAAACAATTATAGGGTGTGTGTTTGTCCTGATACCCAGAATTAGGGGGAGGAAACCCAGCAGTTTTTGGACAAATTATAAGAAAATGGAAGAATCTTGGAGTACGCAAAAAGGCAACAAAAACAAGAGATAATGAGAAGGAAGAGAAAGGGAACAATCAACTCAGAGGCAGAGGACAAAGAATTTATGTTATAGTATGTCTAAACATCAATTAACAATAACAAAATAAATCTCTTTTAACTGTCATCCTTACAAGTCATATCCTCTGTTTACTTCCTCTTTCATCTGCCATTACTAATCAGCAAAACAACATAAAAATTGAGCGCCAACTGTAAAAGAGCAGCAAGAATACCCTCTAAAATCTGCTGCTCCTATCAGATTTAGTATTCTATTTTTCGCCTGAATTAAGAAGCAGAAGACCCTTTATTAGTAGAATCATGACGCTTAATACTACTCTCTTTGTTGTGGATGTCAGTATTGGAATCAACAGCATTGGCATTCTCTTGCTTGTTATTGTTGTTGTCGAGAAGATTGAGATTACCAACTGCTAATATATCTTTTTTGTTAAAATTGTTCTTGTTGTTGTGCATCCAAATCTTGAAAACTCCTCTATCAACCCCAACTTCATAGCAAAACTCTTCTATCAATCTGTCTTCACTCTTTGCCATTCTCCAACCAAGCCACTCAGCAAAAGCATGCATCTTTTCTTTCTGTTCTTTGGTAAACTTTGTTCTTGACCTCTTTCTCCCACTTGGATTGTGGTTGTTGTTGTTGTTGATGTTCTTTATCCTCGGCGCCCAAGGGTTGGAGTGGCCGAGGTGATGGTGGTATTCATCCAAGGGCCCGGAGGAGTGAGCAGCGGTCAAGGCCAGCAGCATGTGCGGTGGTGCAGAAGAGTAGTAAGAGTATGGCACAGGTGAGGGTGGGGTAGGGCTTGGACCCGGACTATGGGTTGGGCTTGGACTAGAGCTAGCATTAGGCGGTGGTGGCAAGCGGTGGATGAAAGCAGGGTCACGGCGGTGGAAGTTGCGGTGGCAGCCACAGGCGGCACATTTCAAGGAGGCGGGGTCAGTTGGGGTGGCAGAAGGGCTAGGCATGAACTCTCCACAACCATCAAGGGCATGTCCACCCAAGCTAGCTGCATGATTTTTGAGACACTCTTTGTAAGAAAGCACCATTGCTTCAAAAAATGAGGACTAATCTTGTAGGAATGGGGCGGTTTTAATGTTGATTAGCTCCATTTGCTAAAATGGGTGATGGCTTGTCGTGGTGAATTAGGAGGGGTGGGGACCTATTTGTGGGTTCATGCCTTATGAGTTATTGTTGTGAAGATAAAGACAAGAAAGATTGATTGTGAGGTTAATTATGATGATGATGTGCATGGAAAAGGTGATGATGGTGGTTATAATGAGAACTGACATTCTTTATAGCTTCAATATAGATGTAAAGGACCCAATTAAGCAACACATTAAAATACAGAAGAAACGCACGCAGGACAAATGTCATCAATGAATTTAAGTTCAACCACTAGTCACGTTCCCTTTGCTCTTTCTTTAAATTTTCTTCCCCAACGAGTGAGTTGGTTATGAGCAGTAAATAATACTCTATCCAGTTGGAGAGTCCCAGAGATGATATATTTTAAATGTTTTTAATTGATAATATGTTTTCGATTCTCTTAATATAAGATCTTATGTTCCTCTTTGCTCTAAACCCACCTTATTGCTCTGCCAATCGGCATCTTCATGTTGACTAGGTTCTTTATGATACCGTTATGTACTGAAAAGTGTAGTCATTGCATGTCTTGGTTTACAACCCAAGCAATGACTTATATTAGTGTTTAAGATTGTACCAAGTAAGAGGCAGAATTTGAGGATGGAAACAATTGGCAACGGTTCATAGGGGCCATTATCATCCTCTATTCCACGTGTTGTTTGAAAAGCTAAAGCAAAAGCAATGGCCATCATTTTTCTTAGGATAAAGTATATAAATTATGATTCAACTCTAAATTATTGTTTTGTTGAGTATATTAATTATTAAAAGTTATAAAATAATCTTTTAATTATAGGGTTGTTTTGTTAAGTCATCGACTATTAAAAATTACAAAATGGTCACCTAATTATTCTTATGTTCAAACCCGTCCTTCCTCGTTAAAAATTGATAGCCGCTTGAGGTGGACATTAACTTGACTAAAATATGATAAAATATAATCTCAAAACTGTTTGGTTGTATTTTGTGGATCGACTCCGTTTACATTATGTTATTGAGCCAATGCTTGAAACATTATGTCGTCGAACCAGTGCTTGAAAGCAACCGCACTGCCAACAGAAATCATTAAAGTATGATTTTATGATATCTCAGTAAACAAGTTAACGTCAAACTCAGATAACCGATAATTTCTAAACAGAAAAGGACGAGTTTGGAACGTATGAATAATCATTTGACTATTTTATAACTTTTAATGGTCAGGATACTTAACAAAACATAACCTTGTAATCAGGGGATCATTTTATAACTTTTAATAGTCAAGAGACTCAATAAAATAGTATTTACAGTCGATGGACCATTTGTATAATTTACCCTTTTCCTTATTCTAGTGTGTTGTAATTATACGACCCAATTGCTAAAGATTTTCTAAATTGTTTGGCAGTTGGGTTGGGATGTAATTCCATTGATGAGGAGATAGCACTTAGATACGGAACCAAATTTTATTTATGGTATAAATATAAGAAAATAATCCAATTAATTACATTAGTTTGATTGATTTATTTTAAAATAATAATTTTAATGTAAATGAAAATTGAACACTATAATTTAAATTTATCTTCTTTTTTTCTTTATTTTATTCCATTGGATAATTAGTTTCGAGACGTGATATTTTGTCTTTTATTTGCTTTGCCTCTTGTTGATCCTTACTTCACAATCATACTTATTACAATCCAAGATACAAATACCTCAATCAATAAATGCAGAAGGAAGCATCAAAATTCAAAGTAATTTAAGAAAATTTTATTTCATAAATTTATGCGTATAATATCTTAATTATTATATATTAATTCAAATTTAAATTGATAATGTAATTAAATTTTATTATATTTTTATGATTAATAATTATTTAATAATTGAGTTTATTTAAATATAAGTATGTATAGTGTAGGTCTTCTTACTCTTTAAGATTATGATGGGAAATTATTTTGAAGAAATGTAATTATTTTGGTGATATATGTAACTATTGTGATATATGTTGTAAAATAAATTTTTAAGGATATTAGAAGAATGTTTGAGATGCATTGATTTTTAGATTTATATATGAAAGAGTGTTTTGTAATAGATTTATTCTTTTTCATTTGTAAAGATAAATAAAATAATTAAATATTGATAGAGTTATCACTCAATTTCTTCTTGGACCACTCTATGAACTTACAATTAAACCATATTAGGGTTTTGTAATGTAACAATTGTGACAAATCTTGTAATCTTCTCATAGTGATTTTTTTACTCCGCTGTTGTTTTTCGCTTTTAAATTTTGCACGTAAATTTTAATGTCTTTTATTTTTTTTTCTATTCGATCAGATTTTTTTATCATTAATCGTTCTGATAGTTATAACAAATATTTACAGTTAATATATTATATATTGATCTCTTAATTATTTTCTTATCTCTTCTAAATTCCTAACATTAGTAATTGCATTCATTATGACCTAAACTAAGCTACCAAAAATGAGAAAATAGTAAAGTGCCTAAAAAAAGTTGATAGGATTAGAGTCCCAAAAACAATGTTAATGGATTAGGGCAATGTCCATGTCGTCGTCATCAACGAAGCACGCGCATTTGTGTACAATTTGGCACAAGTGATGCTCTCCCACTCAAACGACATGTTGACCAATTCTTCCATCCCAACCCTTAATCAAAGCTTTGTTCCATTTCGTTGTTTGCATATAAACAAGAGAGGAGAGACCTAGTAAGAGGGCCAGTGTCCTATTAATTAAGGATTCCTTAAGGGAAAGGCACATGTTGGACGAATTGTGGTGGTTTAAAAGCCTCAAAATGCCCCAATCCAATGGTAAAGAAAGGAGAAATGGTCCTGGTTTTATCTGCCTTTAAATTAGCTGCAGACAGGCCTCACCAACCTTTTTTTTAACCTAGAGAACCAGATTCCATGGTCCACTGCCCCATCTTTTAAGTGATTGAGTCCCCCACAAACAGATATATATTGAATTATAGATAACCCTGACTTTGGGTTTCCTGTATACACACAATTATTATCACCATTTACAAAGTTTTTATTATTTATATTTGGAGTTATGTGTGGATCATATCAGCGTCCACCTAAATGCATTTATTTGCTTCCACGAAACATTAATCGAGAAGATAAGATCAGCAAAGTTAAAGGATAGCTTGTCAAAACCAGAAACACCATACTAACATGGTTAATTTAAATGATAAACAGTTTGATATCATTTAAGTACGGTTTAAATTCGAGGGTTTATGTATATAAAAAAATTATTGTTAGAATATTTATCTATCAAAATTAAATGTACGATATGAATCGATTTAGATTAATCAAGACAAACTAGAATCACAATTCATTACGGAAGATAAGAATATAACATTATCATGATGGATGATCCATCCATATATTGGATTTTGCTTTCAGGGCCTAAATGTCTAGTCCTGAGAGCAACTAACATGGGCTTCTCAACTGATATCCTGTCACTCCTTTTGTATTGGATTTTGGTTTTAACCAAGTTCCAGGGTGTACATGATTGAATTGAACGTGACCATTATATGATGAATACGTATATTTTCCAATGCACTTTTACTAAACATATATTTGTACTTAATTTGACTCGATACTCAATAAATTTAATAAATTTTATTTGATTTATTCGTTAAAAAAATATTATTCAACTTGATTCGTTTTTTCATTAAACTCGTCAAAATTTTTGTTTTATTTTCTTTTAATTTATGTAAAATCTAATAATACTATATAGAGTTTAATATAAACTCAAATTAATAAATTTAACAAAACATATCAAAATAGTGTATGAATCAATTTCAATGTGTAATAATCCACAAAACATGAAACTAACCTATTACGATTAAAGTGACAATTTACAAATACACTAAACTAAATATTACAATCATTCTTGAATAAAAAAAAGTTTTCAATCCTAAAATTAAGGCAACTAAGATCCTAACATATTATAAAAAAAATTACAAACCGCTCACTAATTTATCGAGTTGAGTTGGTTTCACTCGACTCGTTATGGTTTCATGTTGAACTCAAATTCATGTCAATTCAAGTTAAACGTGGATCGAATTTCAAACTCGAAAATGAAAAAAAAAAGTTATAACTGTTACTACCATGGAAGTTCAAACCATTATCTATACTTTGCTTTCTTCCTGATCATCTCTCAGGATGTTAGCTTACAATACAATGAAGATGCTGCCTCACCTTCAGGGACGATCAGGCTTCTTCTGCTAACAACGTCTCTAAAAGAACGATATCGAAAATCAAGAAGAGAGAAAACAATCAACCAACCCAGATAAAATAATTTCTTGACGAGAAAGAAGATATAGTTCTGCCACCTTTTGAATTTACTTACACAATGTAAAACTTAATGCCTAGGATTCTTCGTTTGTCGAAGAAATTAACCACTTGAATTTTGTCATCAAGACATGTTATGGATAGGATCCGGTCCTCTTCGAACTCTTCTTTTGCTTGATTCATTAGGATCCAATTTGTTGTTTGCAGGTACTGCTGGTTTTTGCTCTGTGCTCACTCCCTTCATTCCAACAGCCTTCCTCCTGGTAACAACTATGCTATTTCCTTCTTCGCTATGTTTTAAGGCAAAATCTATACTTGCCAACCCAGAACTTCATCTGGTTGAATTGTTAATAACCCAAAAAACAAAAGAAATACAGTGAGCACTCTTCGAGTACTACACACCATTTCCCCCTACAATTAACTGAACTCAAACAAACAAGAATAACAGAGAGTATGCTTTCTTTTTTCTTCTTAATGTTCCATTTCTGTAGGTATTATTGGAACTGGAAAGGGATTTAAAGCAGTAAAGCCATGGACGACATGGAGGGACCCAATGGTTGTAGCTAGTTGAAGGGATTTTGTGATTCATTCAAATCATAACGTTGCAATCTAAGCAAAGTAAGGCTGTTCCTGGAAGAATAAAGGGGTTGGAATAATACCCTTGAGAAGCCAAGTGTCTATTTTCATAAGCGTTTTTTCTTTACGCTCGAGAATTCCAAGCCCTCTTCCCTATGCAACAAAAATGAGTCTCTTGCTTTCCTGTGTTAAGTGTGTTTGTTTCTTTACGCTTTTCTTTTTCCATTATTATTGTTTCTTTTGGTAGCTAAGCTCTTAATTCCATCCAGTGATGTAATGGCGAAGCCAAGTAACGTTACCAGTTTTTCCTTTGCATCTAACAACAACCTTAGTGACGTGAACCAACTTATCTCAGTCATTAAATGAATCGTTATTATTTTTAGAGGTAATGAGTTAAGCACCAACGACTGCACGAGTGATTGAACGTTCATTGTCAAATGGTTGAGAGTTTTAGGGAGGAAAAACCTTAGCGTGAGCCACTGAATAAGTTCAAATACATACAAATATATAAATCATGTCCATGAGATTTTAGTGGCCTGGAACAAACATAGAAATTAGGCCTCTAATAATAAATATCGAAAAAATTGAACAAGCAAAAATAAATAAATTTACTTCTGAATTGTTTTCTTTATTATGCTTAATAAACTATCAAATAAATACATCAAATTTTAAATAAAAAACATCAAAAAAATTTATTAACACCAAGCTACACACATAAAACAAGCATGGCTCTCTTTTAAAAGGCTCATATTTAATTCAGCCTACTCCATCTTAACAAAATAATAATAAAAGAATAGTTAAGTGAAAAATAAAAAATAATTTAAAAATACCACATCAACATCACTATTAATTTTTTTAATGATAGATAATAAAATATATATATATATAATGTTGAATATGATTTTTTTAAAATAATAATAATAATAAATTATTAAAATTAAAAAATAGTATGTGAGTACTAAATAAATAATTTATTTTTTAAAATTATACATGGAATTTATAATTTTAGACATAATGTAAACGTACAATCATTGAAAATTGCAACTGTTTACACTTCAAAGAACAGTTTCAGTTTTCATAGTATAATGAAACACGAAAGAGCAACTGAAGCACCTAAGTGTTGATAGAAGCCCAGAAGTGTCATCCATATACCTCTCAAACACGTACGCAAGCATTAAAATTTTAGGGTAAAGTGCACAATTAGCTCACCGATTATAACGGTGACATTTTGTTAAATCTCTTATTATTGAAAGTTACGAAATGAACCTCTAACTATAATACACTATTTTATTGAATCCCTCGACTATTAAAGATTATAAAATAGTTACTCGACTATTCATATGTTCTAAACTCTTCTTTTTCCGTCAAAAAATTGATGGTCGTCTAAGTTCGACGTTAATCTGTTAATTGAGAAATAACAAAATCTAATCTCAAATTGTTTGAACTTCATTTTATGGATCGACTCTCCATGTATATTATGTCATCGAGATAATGCTTGAAACATTACGTCGTCGAGTCAGTGCTTAAAAGCAATGACAGTGCCAATAAACATTATCAAATCTCAATCAACATATTAACGTCTATCTCAGACAATCGTTAATTTTTTAACGAAAAATGATGAACTTGGAACATATGAATAGCAAAGTGACAATTTTGTAATAGTCGATGGACTCGATAAAATATCGTCCTATAATCAATGGATCATTTTGTAACTTTTAATAGTTAAGAAATTCAACAAAATAACGTCATATAATCGAGAGTCCATTTGAATACTTTACCCATAATCTTATGACATATTAATTATATGCAACAAATTACTAAGACAACCAATAGTCGATTATTCTATCTTTTCAATTTCAGTTAATCATAGTACCCTTTTTAAACACAAAGATCATAGTCTATTAGTTCATTTAAACAGGGCATATAACAATCACCGATAACGATACTACACATACATGCCTCTATATTATTCATAACTGTTCAAGACAATTTTTTGCAGGAATTTCCAATTTGATAGTTATCAACCAATGAATCATTTTAAAGAAACACATAAATATATTAAATATAACACATTATATATTCAAATTCATTTATCAGTCAAACTCACCTACTTTGAGTTCATTACCATCATTTTTTTTATGTGTACTATCAAATAATTTTGTTAGAACCACACACAATTTTCATATTTGATACATTACTCTCAATTAATTTAATTTATAATTATGATCAGACAGATTTACATATACACAATGATTGTTACAAACTATGGAAAGGACTGATAGCTACCCCATGTTTTCAGCAATTCATTCAAACAGAAGCAGCTTTAGTCTTCCTCAATATTATCTATTCAGGGATAAACAAGATAAAAAGCAAAAGGAACCAATCCTCATTTGTTCATCAACTACCAATTTAATTTTAAGTCAAGCACTTTCCTGGTGGGTGGTCACTGTGGGTCCTGATGATATGGTAAAATGCATACCCCTATGTTGCTCGGACTGTATCACGAAAGCAATCTGTGTTGCAGCCAATGCTGCTGCTTCCTGATACAATAGTGATATATGCTTCAATATCAACTTGATTATAAAACCATGACTGTGATGTAAGGTTTCAAGGTCCGAAGAAAAGCAATACCTTTATTGGCTTCCTTTGGAAGGAAACAAACATGAGTTTTCAAATTGAAATATAAGTAAAGGGATAGTAACCTGTCTTTGCCTTTGTCGCTGTAATATGCTGATGGCCCAAGCCATTATGTAGCATGGCAAGAGAAATCCAGCAGCACGAAGCAAGAAAAGCTGCACAAATAACCAAGCATTTTAAGAGAAAATGGCTCGATGGTATGATGGCTGTATGCATATGCTTAAGAAGTGTTAATGTGAAATATGAGATGCAGTTTGAGGTAAAACTTACAGTGAAAAAAGTAGACACGTCATCCTCTGTATCAGCATCTGAAACAGTCAATGCATGCCGCAGAAGCAGAAGGGCCATTAACTGACAGGATTGAAGAAAACATCAATCATTTTAAAAAACAACTCTTAATTAACGTTTAAATTTAAGGGAAAAGAAGGAAAAATAAAGGGAAAAAAAAACAAAAGTCTTATGAAAATTTTCAACTGAGATGCTTGTAGCCCAGGACAGAATCTGGGTGGTTTTCCTTCAGACATCAAAGTTGGGAGATGAAGGCTCAGAAGGATGGTATAAGTTATTTCTCTCCACTGTTACACATAACAAGCCCAGTTACAGAGAGAGAGGAGCAAGGGAAAAGTTTTTTTTTTTTTTTATAAAATTGAGCAAGGGAAAAGTTGTTGACATGAAAAATCAGCTGAGATGACCACATCGATTGTGGCCCGTGTGGAATTGTGCCACTGCTCCAGTGGCTCAAGTTTCTATTTAGATGAAGAGAATTGGGAGCTGAAACCCCCAAAATCATGTAAAACAATAAAAGTAGGTTTCTTTACTGTTAATGCAATTACTATGCCATGCAGATTCAACATGTCCAGCAGATTCATAGTTAAAAGCTTACGATTAGAGCAGCTGAACAGAAAAAGGCAGCTCCACTGGCATTCGATGCAGCATATTCATCATACTCAGCTTCCAATAGTCGTCTTTCTGCCTCTGCAATGGCTAAGAGCCAAGGATCATGCAAATCCAGAGGGTTGCCAGGGATTGTCCAGCCTCCACTAATAGAAAGATGCAAAACGCAAATTTAGATCAAACTTTTTGATGAATGTATGCCTGATAAATACAACAGCATATGTAAGTTTTATTTTACAATAAATCTACCAACCACCAACCATTGCATAGAAATGTCTTACATGTGAAACCATCAAACTTACCCAATATCAATAGCAGCTTCTTCAGTTTGAGCACGAGGCAGAGCAGTATAACCAGGTTGATAAGTCTGCACAGAAAATTAAAAGGACTGACTGCATCAGAAAGGATCCATAACAACCAATTATCAATAGGAACAAACAAGAACTATGAATCTAACAAGCCTTATGTGTCGGTAAGGGATGAAAGGTGGTGTTTCTAATAAGCCGGTACTAAGAAAAGAAGGGCATTTCCCATCATTCAAACGATTAAATAATATTCTTCCAAAAAGCAGTTGATACACCCTATTCCACACTCATTTGTAACAGCTTACTTCGAAATCCACAAACATTCACCCCTTACAAAACACAAAAGGCCTACACATGCTAGTTGAAGATCTTGTAAAGGATGAAATCAAGTTGCAGCAGGCAAAGCATGTTTCTAAACAAAATAACAACTTCGAAAAGGGAATTAAGTCAAGTAGATACCTGATGACATATCTCGCAAACGATATCTCCTTTCTCGTTGCACCAATGCTCCACGCATTTCCTATGCGCATACTGCAATTAAAATCAGATTGCATTAATGATACCAAAGCAGTAATGCTAATTGCAAAATTTAGCTTAATACAATGAAGTTCATCAAACTGAAAGCGGGATCATAAAAGCTAAAAATATATGCACTTTATATTCTAAACAAAGGTATGAAAAAAACCTTCTTAATCAAACTTTTACCAAGAAAACAAAATAATAATAAAAAATAAATAAAAGAAAGGACCATGAGGCTGCCGCTGCAGGCACAAGGAGTCTCAAGATTCTCAATGGAATCTTCCTCCTGGCAAATGCGGCACTCCGCCGCCTGAATGAGCGCCTCCTCCTCCTTGCCTACATGAATGATCTCCTTTTCCTTGGCGGAGCATGATGGCCCCGGAATCTCCGTGGAGAGAGCAGCCTCCGACTCCACCGGCTGTAATGGCACCGGTCTTAGCAGACGATCCACATACAACACCAGGTGATCACTCATAATTTCTACAGACATGATAAAAAAATTAAAATTTTACAATAGAATTCAATCCAAAAACATAATTAATAATAATAAACCCCGGAATCGCGCTGAGTAAGAGCAGCGAATCGGAGGTTTCCTGACAAATGAGGGAATGAGGAAGAAAGAAATCTTATAAAAAGAAAAACTTTACCTGTAGTGGAGAAAATGGGGGACTTTATGTTGGATCAACGGAACCAACAAATTTTCTAAAAAAGTCTTTCCTTTGTTGCCAACCCTTCCTTTTTCCAACTACTCCGATGGTATTTTTGGAATTTAGGATTGGCCATTGCTGGCAACCCTTCTCTTTCTCTCGCTATCTCTCTGCTTTTGATAATTCATAATGTAGATGGTGTGGTGTAAATTAATCTGGGAAATCAAATTAAGCATGGAATAAAAGGAAAACACTCCAACTCTTTATCCATCTAGTATAGTAAATGGGTTATTTCTTCATTTTGTAATTCTCGATTCCTAATTATTACTTTTCTTCTCGTTATTATAAGGGTAATGTATAAATTTGATCATTCGATTATAGGGGACTATTTTTTTTTTAATTCATTGACTATTATAAAATTGTCTTTCGATTATAGGTATGGTCGGTCCTGACATTTTAAGGGCCCTAAATAAAATAAGAGATAAGATCTCTTAAAAAATAACTTAAAATTCAAAAATAAATTTCGATAAACCCTAAACAAATTTTTCATTAAAAATTATTCGAGTAGATTCTATTACATTAACCAACATTATTTTACCAAATATATAAAGAGACATCTCAATTTTTCACTCAATTTACTCATATTATGTCTTCAATCATCTCTTAGTATTCATATTAGTTATATGTTCAACATTATTTTCATGTTGTTTAAGCCTTTGGCTAATATGTTTTCAATCACTTAAGCCATCATTTGCTAACAAACTTACATTACTAATCGATTTGAACAACTTGCAACAAAAACAATATACTTTGTCAACATTTTTGGAATAAACTAACCATTTTCTATCACTAGACTCACTATTGCTCAACTTTCTAGTGTAACATTCATATGAGAAATGTCTATAATATTTATCAACAGGAAATTCAAGATCCATTTCTCTTATGGGCCATTTTTCAACTAATATATCCCTCGCATTATTGTCAAGATTCTCTCAATTTATAGGATCATATATATTCAAATGAGAAAGTGTTTCTTCACCAATGCCTAAATTTTCAACATTTTCATCAATTGACACATCATTAAAGTCAATTGGATCATTCACTTCATCATCCGAATTTCTAGGATTTTCAGTATACAAATTTTCAGTTGATTAATTCAAAGTTTCATGAGAATCAGCCTTTTTAAACATAAATTTATCAAGAGCACCTTTTTGTGACTTCTTTAACTCCTCCTCTCACTTTTTTTTTCACTTCCAGACAAATTGTTGAAAACATTTTTGTTTCGATATAACAAATTAAGTTTAAATGAATTTTAAGATTTTACAAATGATTTTCTAAGTATATTAAATTTAATTAATCGAATATCAAATTATTACTCCAAGTCTTTTAAGATCAATTTCAAACCTTACTAAAAGTGTAAAATTGTGTTTTATACTTAATATATTTTTGAAACAATTTTCACAAAGTATTTTGAACCAAAATCAAGCCTAAAATCAATTTTTCAAAGTGATGCACCGATGCACCAATCCATACATCGATGCACCATGGAATAAATTGAACATCGAATGCATTTCATGCATCAATGCACATACCATGCATCGATGCACTGAGGATTTTATGAAAACATCGAATGCATTTCATGCATCGATGCACCAGCCATGCATCGATGCACTTTGGTTATTTTGAAACATCGAATGCACTTGATGCATCGATGCACTCTTAGTGCACCGATGCACTAAGGGTCCAACGGTCAAAATATTTGAATTTTACACTGATGCACCGATACACCATGGGTATGCATCGATGCACTGATGCTCCCAACTGATTTTATTAATTGTTTTCACACTTAAACTGCTATATTGACTCCACTAAGCATCCCCAACGTTCAGAATCATTTGAAGGTGTATTTAAACAAGCTTAGAAGCCATTGATCAATAACAAGAAACAAGAATCAACAAGAATCAAGAGAGAATCAAAGAGAAAGCATCAAACCTCAAGTTTGAGCATTTCAAGCCTATTTTTTATTCAATATTCATTTTGCTTTCAAGAACACTACTTGTACTCAATTGTATTCATTTTTTAGTGTTCTTCTCTTTGCTCTAGAATTGTGCAAACAATCTACCTTGTGAAGATTTCCTTGTAAGTTTACAAATTTGTAATATTCTCTTTGAGAAAAAGTGTTCTCAAGAATTGGGGTATATTCTTGAGGGAGTTGTAAGGTTATCTCTTTGGCCTCAAAAGAAAGAAAAAATTAGTGAATTTGTTGGAAAATCCTTAGTGTGGATAGCTAAGGTAGTGGACGCAGACTTTGATTGAGAAAGTCGAACCACTCTAAATCGATGTGCAATTACTTTCAATTTTCTGCAAAAGCTTCCACCAAATTTTTAATTGCCAATTCACCCCCTCTTGGTCGATTTCGTCGATCGATTAACTCAACAATTGGTATCATAGCCTCACTAATTTAAAGGTTTAATCACCTCTTGAGTCGATTCGGGAAGAGTTACATCTATTGTCAAGTCATCAATGGCCTCTACTTCAAATGTCGACTCCGGTCTCGATTCGATGCCCGTCAACAAGCTTCTTTTCTTCAATGGAGCAAACTACGCCTATTGGAAGAATATGATGATGTATTTCATTCAAGCAAGTGATATGGGAGCGTGGAATATCGCAGAAGACGGATATATCAAACCTTCCACTCATCCAATATCGTGGAGTGAAAGAGAGACGAGATTGTTCCAACTCAACTCCAAAGCCATCCATATTATTTTTTGTGCCCTTGGACCGGATGAATACGGAAGAGTTTCATCTTGTACAACCGCCAAAGAAATATGGGATAAACTTCAAGTCACATATGAAGGCACCGATGAGGTAAAAGAATCTAAAATTAGTCTTCTAACGCATAGCTATGAAAATTTCAGGATGAAACCGGATGAAGATATCAAAGCTATGACGGATAGATTTTCAACGATTGTCAATGGTCTCAAATCATATGGAGAGATCATTCCAAATGTAAAGCTTGTGAGGAAGTTAGTTTACTCTCTTTCAAAATCATGGCAATCAAAGAAAACGACAATCATCGAGCTTAAGAACCTAAAATCCTTAACTCTTGAAGAGCTAATTGGTTCCCTCCTCACTTATGAAATGATGCTTGAAGATGAGGTGGACCTTGATAAGATTGATGAGACACCAAAAGAGAAGGAGAAGAAGAAAACATTGGAGTTGCTCTCAAATCTATAAAGGATGAGAGTGATTCGGATGAAGATGACGATGACGAAGAAATGACATTATTTGCCAAATGATTCAGAAAATTGATGAGGCCCAACCGAGGAAGAAAATTTAAATGCAATGAAGGCTTCAAAACTGAATCGAAGGAGAAAGACCCGATCATTTGCTACGAATGCAAAAGGTCGGGGCATGTCAAATACGATTGCCCTCAATTGAAGAAGAAAGGTCAATCCAAGAAGAAACACAAAGCTCATGTAGCTATATGGAGCGATGAAGAAGGTTCCGATGAAGAGGAACAAGAAGCATCTAACTTGTGTTTAATGGCCATCGGGGAAAACTCTCAGGTAACCTCTAACTCATTTAATTCATATGAATTATCTTATGATGAGTTATTAGAGGATTATAATGGGTTGGCTTCGGATTATAAGACTCTATTTTCAAAATATAAAAATGATGTTTCAAAATTGAAAAACGAAATGAGCTTGAAAGTAAGATTAAAGATTTGCAAATCAAAATTAATGATTTTGAAAAGAAAAATATTGATTTGCATAACTTACTTTCAAAAGTTCATGATGATCATCAAAAAGAAATTGATGATCTTAAAACTTCTTTTGATAAAGTTGGAACAAAAAGATTTGAAAAATGTGAAAATTCAAAATCCAACTTTGTTAGAAAATTTTTTAGAAACTACAATCATAGAGGTCCCCGAAGAACCTCAAATGGAAAAATCATTAGAAGTATGTGGGTTCCTAAAGAACTCGTTACTACTAAAGATAAGGATATCCTACACAAATAGATACCTAAGGGGACTAGAATTTTAGAAACTAATGAATATGGACCCAAAAGAATTTGGGTACCAAAAATTAGAAATTAATCTATGTTTGTAGGAAAAAGAGCATTGCTACAAGGCACGGGAAACAAATTCAAACTCATGGTACCTTGATAGTGGATGCTCAAGACACATGACCAGAGATAAAAGCCGGTTCATAGAGCTTAACGCCAAAAATAGAGGAGAAGTGACTTTTGGTGATAATTCAAAAGATCACATTGAAGGTATAGGTACAATAGGTAATACCTCTTCCATACAAATTAAGAATGTTTTATATGTGAATGGATTAAAGCATAATCTCTTGAGTATTAGTTAATTATGTGATTAGGGATTCAATGTCATGTTTGAAACTAATGGTTGTAAAGTCATTGACATTGTATCTAATCGGATTATGCTTGTTGGTCATAGAAAAGGAAACATTTACATGGTGCATTTAGACTCTATAGAAATGACTAATTTATGCTTAGTTACTAAGGATGAGCATGATAGTTGGTTATATCATAGGAGACTAGGACATGCTAGTATGAGTGTTTTGCAACAGTTAGTTCAAGGAGAATTGGTTCAAGGGATGCCTAAACTAAAATTTGATAATAATAAAATCTGTGATGCTTGTTCTAAAGGAAAACAAAAGCGAATTTCTTTTAAATCCATTAATGATGTATCAACTAGTAGAGTATTGCAATTGATCCATTTATATCTTTTTTTGGCCAACTAGAACTACTAGCTTGGGTGGAAAACAATATGTATTTGTCTTGGTAGATGACTATTCTAGATATACTTGGGTTCTATTCTTAATTACTAAAGATGAAACATTAGAAAAATTTATCACGTTTTCAAAAGTAATCCAACACGAAAAAGGTTATTCTATAACTAGTGTTAGAAGTGATCATGGAACTGAATTTGAGAATCTTGGATTTACTGATTTTTTTTAATTCTAATGGTATTAGTCATAATTTTTCAACACCTAGAACCCCTCAACAAAATGGAGTTGTTGAGAGGAAAAATCGAACTTTAGAAGAAATGGCTAGAACCATGCTCTGTGAAAACAATTTGCCAAA